TAAATCTTGCACTGGTGTGGTACATTTGTTACAATTGATGAACCATTATTGATACATTATTACCAACTAAAGGGCATTGTTTATTTTAGGGTTTTCTCTTTGTGTTGCACAATTCTATGGGTTTTGTCACATGCATAATGTCATGCATCCACCATTACAGTATCATACAGAATATGTTCACTGCCCTAAAAAATCCTCTGTGCTCCATCTATGCACCTGTCCTTTCCTCCCCAGGAATCCTGGGCAAGCACTGATCTTTCTTTCTCGTTCTTTCTTTCTTTCTTTCTTTCTTTCTTTCTTTCTTTCTTTCTTTCTTTCTTTCTTTCTTTCTTTCTTTCTTTTTCTTTCTTTCTTTTCTTTCTTTCTTTCTCTCTCAGAGAGAGAGAGTGTGCACACGAAGCGTGGGTGTAGGGGCAGAGGGAGAGGGAGAGAGAAAATCTCAAACAGGCTCCTCCACGCTCAGTGCTCAGCACAGAGCTTGATGCAGGGCTCGATCCCACAACCTGATCCTGACCTGAGCCAAAACCAAGAGTTAGAGACTTAACCGACTGAGCCACCCAGGTGCCCCACTGATCTTTTTACTGTTGCCTTTTCCTGAATATCATGTAGTTGGAAACATACAGTTTGTACCCTTCTCAGAATGGCTTCTTTCACTTAGCAATATGCATTTAAGATTTCTCTATGTCTTTTTATGGTTTGATAGCTCATTTCTTCCTATTGCTGAATAATATCCCATCATATGGATGTGCCACAGTTTGATTATACATTCACCTATTGAAGAACACTTTGGTTGCTTTCAATTTATGACTAAAGCTTCTATAACATTTGTGTGTAGGCTTTTTTAAAAATAGATTTTTATTTATTTGTGAGAGAGAGGGCGCACAAGCAGGGAGAGCAGTAGGTAGAGAGAGAAACAGGTTCCCTGCTGAGCAAGGAGCCCAATGCGGGACTCTATCCCAGGACCCTGAGATCATGATCTGAGCCGAAGGCAGCCTCTTAACTGACTGAGCCATCCAGGCATCCCTGAACATCTTTTCATATGCTTATTTGGATAGCCTGTATCTTCTTCAGTGAGATGTCTCTCCACATTTTTTGCTCACTTCTTAATTGAGTGTTGAGTTTCAAAAGTTCCTTATATATTCTGCATAATAGTCCTTTATTAGATAAGTGCAGATATTTCCTCTCAATCTGGTGTGTCTTTTCATTCTCTTGTCTAGCCTTTTTTTTTTTTTTTGGCATAATGTTTTTCATCATATTTTTTAGTTTTTTAAATTTTTGCTTATTTTGTTATATCCCCCTTTTTTAGTCCTAATATTATTTATTTGTTGCTACTTCTCTTTTATCTATATCAATTTCACAGAAACTTGTTTTCTTTATTAGTCCTTTCAAAGACCTAACTTTAGTTTTTTGGTCATCTGTATTATATATTTTTCTATTTTATTAATCTTTATCTTCTTTATCTTTATCTTCTTCCTTCTACTGTTTTGGATTTTTGTTTCTTCTAATGTATTAGGATAATCACTTATATATTTAATTTTTAGTCTTATTTTCTACTGTAAATGCATATAAGGTTATTACTTTACCTGTGTCCTATAAACTTTCATATATAGTATTTTTATTACCTCTCAAATCTTATATTACCTCTCAAATCTTGTATTACTTCTCAAATCAAATATTATAACTTTGCATTGGGATTTCTTCTTTGACTTTTCTGTTATTAAGATGTTTTTTAAATCTCCAGAAGCACCTGAGTGGCTCAGTCAGTTAAGGATCTGCCTTCAGCTCAGGTCATGATCTCAGGGTCCTGAGATTGAGGCCTGTGTCAGGCTCCCCACTGAGTGGGGAGTTTGCTTGTCCCTCTCCTTCTGCTCCTTCCCCCTGCTTGTGCTTTCTCTGTCTCGCTTTCAAATAAATAAATAAATAAAATATTTTTTAAAAAAAATGTTTTTTAAATCTCTAAATATAGTTTTAAAAATAATCATTTTATTATTGACTTCTAACTCAATTGTAATATGACCAGAGAATGAGATCTGTGTGATAGCATTTTTTTTGCAATTTGTAGAAAGTTGCTCAATGACCTAAATCAAAATTAATTTTCTTAAATCTTCCTTGTAAGTTTTTAAAGTATTTGTGTTCTCAAAATGCTGGGTGCAGAGTTCTATATCCATTCCTTAGAAAATCATGGGGTGCCTGGGTGGTTCAGTTGGTTAAGCATGACTCTTGATTTCAACTTAGGTCATGATCTCAGGGGTGTGAGATTGAGCCCTATATTGGGCTCTGTACTGAGTGTGGAGCCTGTTTAAGATTCTTTCTCTCCCTCTCCCTCGACCCCTTCCCCCTCGTGCACATGCTCTCGCTCTTAAAAAAAAAAAAAGAAAATGTTAATTAATGGTGTTGGAGATATTCCTGTGATGGTTAGTGATTCTTGGATATCATTACCTATGTAGGTGTTATTGACTGAATGTTTTGTCTCTTCTCAAAATTCATATGTTGAAAACTAACCTCCAGTATATTGGTATCAGGAGGCGGGGGCTTTGGGAGGTGATTAGGTCATGTGAGTGGACCCTCATGAATGAGATTAATGCCTTATAAAAGAGGCCCATGAGAGCTCCTTATCCCTTGGCCACGTGAGGGCACAACAAAAAGACAGTGGTCTATAAAGTAGATAGCAGGCACTCACCAGACAGTAAATCTGCCAGCACCTTGATCATGGACTTTCCAGCCTCCAAAACTATGAGAAATCAATTTTTGTTGTTTATAAGCCACCTACTCAATGGTATTTTATTACAAGCACCTAAATAGACTAAGACAAAGAGTGAGGTACTAAAAAGCTGACTGGGAATCCTTTATGCACAGATGGGGCTTGTTGGATTGGATCTTTAATTTAGGGTGATTGCTTATGGACCCAGACAGTTTATTATGGTGTAGGGGAGAAAATATTTTTCCTCTACCCTTCTAGATTTTTGTGGCTGGTCTATTAATTGACATAAGACAGATGAACAGGAGAAAACAAATTTAATTATTTACATATGAGAGCCCTATAAGAATGAGACCCAAGGACAAGCCTGGCAATTGAGGCTTATATGCTATTCTAAGCTCAAGAATAGGATAGGGGCCTGGGGCTTCAATTGGGAGGAGGGGAATTCACAGGACAAGAAAGCAGATATTTGGTAATTAGATATTTGCCCTGCTATACATTAAAAGTTCTTAAAAGTTATCTCTGGTAATAGCTCTTTTTCTGTGCCAGACCCCCATTCTAAATTCTTTTAGGTAGTTAAGGGAGAGGTAAAACTTTTTCTTAAATATGCTGGGTCTTAATTGCCTTTAGCTCAGAATAATCCACATGCCAAAGTGGCATATGTTTGTACCATGTATTCTGTTCCTCCTCAATGGGGATCCCTCAAATGTCAATATTCTGTCATTCTAATCAAATTTCTATCTTATAAAATTACACCGAGATTTGTTTGTCTGCTGGTATCTCCATTCCTATTCTTTTTCTTCTTTGGGTTTATAAACTTTTCACTCCTTTACTTTCATTAAAAAAAAAAGTTTCATTTAAGTATATATGCATTCAGGAAAGTGTCCACAAATATGCAACCTGCATACATATGTAAACCAGCACTCAGATTAATAGAACATTATCAGCACTTCATGAGCCTCCCCATGTTCTCTTCCAGAGTCATTACTCCACATTGACTTCTAATAGCATAGATATTTGGGTAGTTTCCAGTTTAGGGCTATTGCCAATTATAGGTATGGGCTTTTTTTATGTTTGTCCTTTCAGTGAACATATGTACACATTTCTGTTGGGCATATACCTTGGAGTGAAACTGTTGGGACAAAGGCTCTACATACATTCAGCTTTATTGATATTGCCAAACAGTTTAACAAAGTGATTGTACCAATTTACATTCCCTCAGCAGCATATGAGAGTTCTGGTTGCTCCACAACCTTGTCAATACTTGGTGTTTTCTATCTTTTTCATCTTAGCCTTTCTGGTTGGAATGGAATGGCATCTCATTGTGGTTCTAATTTGCATTTCCTCTTTCCTCTTTTTTTTTTTTTTTTTAGGTGTTTCAGGATGGAGCGATTAAAATACAGGGGGTTAATCCTCTACATCTGCCATAAGTTTCTCCCTTATGGGTACTTACCTAATGGAACTTAGAACCTTTTTTCCTGTACAGGAGGCAATATAATACAGAGAATGAGGGCAACAAACTTCGCAAGAAGATATACTGAGGTTTGATTCCCAGCTCCAATGCTTACTTGCTACTACCTTGAGAAATTTATTTAACCTTTCTCCATTTTATGTAAAATGTCACTAATAATAGTACCGCTTCAGGAGGTTGTTTTGAGGATTAAATGAGATAAAATACGTAAAACAATTTCCTAGCACACTGTGTGTACATAGTGAACAAATGGCAGCTATTATTATACCTTATATTCTTTATGCTCATCTCATTTCTCCTTCTGTTACACTTTTTATGACAGGGAAACAATACATAGCACACATTAGCCTCTTCATATATAATAGTTGCTGATAAAGACTAGTTGAATGAATGATTTTAAATATAAACATAAGGTATTGTGGTTATTGTTATAAAAGATGGCATAATTATTATAATGGCAATAGTATAAAATGCACTGCTAATCAGGAATACATTACTTAAACAGTGTCTCTCCTATTTACCTTTATCATTTAACAGTTAAGATAATTAGTGCTGTAGAGTAACATTACTTGAGCTAATTCGTAATAACAATTAGATGTTCCATATTACATTTGCGAGGGTTCCAGAGCTGCTTCTGTTAAAGCCCAAACCAAAACAAATAAAAAAATACCACCCCAGAAACAAAAACACCCCTTTTCTGAAGAGATGCTAAGCCTTTCCAATTTTAACAGATCCTTTGTTCAGCAGTGGAGAAACTGGGGAAGGAACAGCTGCCCCAGCAGCTTCCGTACAACATGGCGTCGCCCATTTGTATACCCCACCCGGGTTTCCGTCCTCCTAGCCGGTCGCAGGACCGGAAGTGGTTTCCGTCCTAGTGGATCCGGGTAGGTGCGCGCAGGTGGCCGAGGAGGGTTCCCGTTCCTCAGCGTGAAGTGCCGCAGGTGTTCGGGTTAGGTCCGGGGTCGCAGGTAAGGGAAAATAAGGGACCGCGGGACCTTTCACCCGCCTTGTGCGAGGGAAGGAAGGGGTTTTCAGTGCGGATTGAGGAGAGGCACAGATGTCACCGTGTGCGGGGGCGACATATGGCGGGGACCCCGCCGTCCCCGAGCGACTTGGCCCAGCCCTTCTTCCCCTCCTCCGCGGCGGTTTAGCACCCACGTGTGCGGTGAGGGCTCTCGCCCCGGCCGCGGCCCACCATGCTTCCCCCGGCCGCCCCCGCGGGCCCCTCCGTCTCTCTCGAGGAGCGCCTACCAAACCTTCATGGCTTCTAGACCCAGTCAGCTCAAAAGAAGGCACCGCCCCCAGCACCTGGCAACTCCTTGGGCGCTGCGTGCTGCCTCGGCCGCCGTTACGGTTCCCTCCCCTCCCCTCGTGGGGACCTGCCCCCGCCCCCCGTGGTACCACCCTTTCCCTCCCAGACCACATCCGCTGCTCTGGGCCTTGCAGGGAGCAGGTTTGTCTTTCCGCAACCCTAGTGAGGCCTACAAAATTGATACTTGCTCGTTAGCATAGAAGCAGACCCAGCCCTTTCTAAGCCTTTGATGCACGGATCGGACGCGAACTCTCTTAGATACCCACTCCTTGAAAACACTACATTATTTATACCGTTTTTAAGAAGATTTAAAAAAAATTTATTTTTAAGTGATCTCTGCACCCAGCGTGCGGCTCCACCTCACAACCCCAAGATCAAGAGTCGCACGCTGCACCGACTGAGCCAGCCAGGCGCCCCATACCGTATTTTTTTAGTTGTATTACATGGATAGAAGGACCTGCATGGGAATATTTTGTTAATTATCAGAATTAGGAAGTGTGGGAGAAAAGCGGCTTAATAGGGGAAAATAATGATTCGTTTTGGTCACGTTGAGCTCGTTCTAAAAATGTATTCTTTTATATTTAATTTTTAAAATTTATGTATTTATTTGAGAGAGAAGGAGAGAAGCAGGGGGAACAACAGACGGGGAAGGAGAAGCTGACTCCCCGCTGAGGAGGGAGCCTGATGCGGGCTCAATCCCAGGACCCTGGAGTCATGACTTGAGCTGTAGGCAGCCGCTTAACTCACTGAGCCACCCAGGCGCCCCATCTTTTATATTTATTTTAGTTGTAGTTCATGCATACAGCCTTTTATAAGAAATTTAAACAAAATGGATCCTCTTTGATCTCTCTCCATCTCCATCTTCTTTAATCTCTTAGACCTAAAGTCAGAACTGTTACCAGTTTGGGATGTGTTTTTCTATTTCTCTTTCTTTGCATTTATTGACAAGTATTCACATAAGTTACATGTATGTAAGATGTAAGATTTCGTGTTAAACTTTTACTAATACATATTATACAAATATGGTATATTGTACCTATTCAGCAACTTGACTTTTATACTTAAAAGTGGGTCTTGGAACATTTTCTTTGTCCATATGTATGTAGAGATTGACCTTATTCTTTCTACTTGCTCTGTAAATTCCATGGTATATTAAGTTTTCATAGTACGCGAGATTCCATAGATTGCTTACAGTTAGACACAGTGTGGCGGAAAACATCCTCCCACATGTGTCTGTGTGCCCATGTGGACATTTCAAACCTGCAGATTGAATTGCTGGGTGGGAGGGTGTGGACAGGTAATGGCAAACTGCCCACCAACAGTGTATAATAATGTCTATTTCCCTAGCTCTTTTAAACATTTGATGCTATTCATCTTTTTCATTTTTGCCAATCTGATGGGTGAAAAATGATTCTGATTGGTGTTTTAATTTGTATTTCCCTAGTTACTAGTGAGATTGGGCATCTTGTCATGATTGTTGGCTGTTTGTATTTCCTCTTTTGAGAAATGTCTCCTTTTAATTGGACTGCTTTTAAATATATAGTAGTTTTTTTATGTATTCTGGATATTAATTTTTTGTCATTTTTGTTTTAAGTATTTATTCCCAACATAGTGCTTTTTTAAAGTTAATGCTTGTCTTTCAACTACATGGCGTCCTTGTCAAACCATAGTTTTAACTTTTACATTTAAATGTATCAGTTTTTTATTCTGTGTATTCTGTATTTTGTGGCCGTCATTCCCTACCAGAGTGGTTCTCCAGTGGGAGATATTTTGCCTTCCAGGGGCTATTTGGTAATGTGAGGACACATTTTTTGGTTGTCTAACTGGGGTTGTAGAATGATGGGCATCTACTGGGTGGAAACCAGGGATGCTGCTAAATATCCTAGAACGCATTGGAAAGCCCTCCACAACAAAGAATTTTTCTGGAGTAAAAAGTCAGTAGTGCTGATGTTGAAGAACACTGTTATACCCTAAGGCACAACACGGTTTTCTCTTATGACTATCCTTTCTCCTAAAAATTCTTACATGTTTGAGTTTTTCTTTAATTCCTCTGGATGTGTGTGTGTGAGTGAATGGTGTGTGCATAGTTACTGTTTTCCCAACAGTGTCACTCTGAATATTAAATGCATTCATGACGCATTAATCTGAATTGCCACATTTATCATTTACTACTTTCTCACACAGAGTCAGTTTCTGGACTGTTCTATTCTGTGACCTAATTTTCGGTTTTGCTGGACCAATACCACAATATCTGATGTTAAATATATGTTCTATTTTGATATTTAGTAGGATACTCACTTATGATTATTACTGTCATTACTTTATTGAAAATTGTATACTTTATCAGCTCACATACTCATTTAAAAAAACTATGGGGGCTAATCTTAGAATTTCTTTTCCAGATTTTTAGAATTAGCTTGTCAAATAGTTTTTTTAAGTGGCTTTATCTAGATGTAATTTACATAACTCATTGTTTAAAGTGTACAATTCAGTGGTTTTTTAGTGTATTCACAGTCGTGCAGCCATCACCACAATCTAATTTTAGAACATTTTCATCACTCCAAAAAGAAACCCATGCCAATTAGCAGTCATTCCCCATCCCATTCCCCAGTACCAGAGCCCTAGGCTAGCAATCTTTCTGCCTTTATAGATCTGAATATTTTATATAAATGGAATCATACAATTTGTGATATTTTGTGACAGGCTTCTTTCACTCAGCATAATGTTTTTAAGTTTCATCCATGTTGTAGAATGTATCAGTACTCCTCTGTTTTTGTGGCTGAACAGAATTCCATCCTATGTTGTATTTGTTTCCTAGGGCTACAGTAACAAAGTAACACAAACTGGGTGGCTTAAAATAACAGAAATGTATTCTCTCACAGTTCTGGAGGCTATGAAGTCCAAAATCAAGGTGTCAGCAGGGCTTTGCTGTCTCTGATGGCTCTAGGGGAGAATCCTTTCTTGCCTCTTCTTAGCTTTTGGTGGTTGCTGGCAATCCTTGGCATTCCTTGGCTTGCAGCTGCCGAAACTCTAACCTCTGCCTCTGTCTTCACATGGCCTTCTTCCCTGAGGGTCTGTCTTTACGTGATAATTCTCTCTGTAGGAGCCTGTTTCTGTGTCTCTTCTCCCCTTCATGGAAGGACACCATTTCTATTGGATTAAAGGCCCACACTAGTTCAGTATGACCTCATTTTAACTTGATTATGTGTGCAAAGGCCTAAGTTTCAATAAGGTCACATTCGCAAGTACTGGGGGTTAGGACTTCAACATATCTTTTTTGAGGACACAGTTCAACCCATAACCTTATGGATATGGTACATTTTATGTATCCACTTGTCAGCTGAAGGACATATACATTGTTTCCACTTTTTGGCTATTTATGAATAATGCGGCTGTGAACTTTTGTTTGGACATATGTTTTCATTCCTCTTGGGTATATACTTAGCAGTGGAATTGCTGGGTCATATGGCAACCCTATGTTTAATCATTTGAGGAACTGCCAGTGTTTTTCAAAGCAGCCGCACCATTTTACATTCCCACCAGCAGTGTGTGAGAGTTCTAATTTCTCCATATTATTGCTAGCACTTATTATCTGTTTTTTTCATTAGAGCCATCCTAGTAGGTGTGAAGTGGTATCTCATTGTCATTTTGATTTGTATTTCCCTACTAGCTTTTCAGTGCTTATTGGCCATATGTATATCTTCTTTGAAGAAATGTCTATTCAGATCCTTGCCTGTTTTTAACCGGCTTGTCTTTTTTATATTGAATTGTAAGAGTTCTTTATATATTCTACATACATGCTCTTAGCAGATATATGCTTTGCAAATATTTTCTCCTATCCTGGGGTTGTCTTTTCCCTCTCTTGATGGTCAGTTCATTTTTTAAAAAGTTTTTTAAAATTAAGTTTGCATTACATTTATATGTTATTTTGACTATATTTGTAAAACAATCTCTTTATTAAAAAATAGAGTAATTATAGTACCTTTTGAAGAAGGTTGTTGAAAGGATTGAGTGAGTAATGTGTAAATGATTGCATATAATGTGGCACATGCTGTGTGCTCTGTATTTGACAGCTGCGGTAATATCTCTCTGCTCTTCCAGGCTTCTGTGTCTTCAGTGAAGTTTTCTATTTTTCTTCATATCAGTCTTGCACATTTCTTGTTGAGTTTATACGTAGGTGTGTGTGTGTGTATGTGGTTGTTTCGTGTGTGGTTTTAAAAAAGTGTATGTTGCTATTATGAGTGGGTTTTTCTTCATATTTTTATAATGGTTTTGGAAAGCTATTGATTTTACATATTCATCAAACTTTCAAAATGATAAGTTGTAAAAGTTATGACTTATTTACTTACCCAGGTGATTCCAATGTGGTCATTCTGTTAGGAATCATGGTTCTTTTTTTCTTTTTCTTTTTTTAACGTAAGAGCTACACCCAAAGTTGGCATCTCATGATCCCAAGAGTCACATGCTCTAGTGACCAAGCCAGCCAGGTGACCTCCCCCGCCCCACCCACCTGCCTCATGATTCTTTTTCATTCTGCCTTCTTCTGCCCTGATTTGGATCTTCCTCCCTTCCAGGCTCTACTATGTGAGTCTTCCATCAGGTCTTCCTGTCTCTTGCCTTGCTCTCCTCCAGTCTAGCACCCACACAGCCGCCATG